TATTTGCTGCCTTCACAGTGTAACAGTTTCAATGAACAGCAGTATATGGTGTTACCAAGCAACAAGTTTGATTCTCCATCAAGTGAGAGTTGGCTGTGGCAGCACAAAAGGTACCACAGAAAAATACAAATTTAATGACATTAAAGTTTTGTTATTTTGTTTCCCTAAAAAATTTTTTTGTTTAATTATTTGAATGAAACTTTTTTATGTATTCTTTTAAAGTGAAGTAAAAAATTGTTATAACTTTAGTATAGTAAATGGTAAACAATGTCATTTAGAATTTTTGTAATCATGTATTAAATCCGTCTGCCTTCTGGGCACTATGTTACTTTGTATTTATTAAATGAATATACGTTGGAAGTTACTTTATTCAGTAACTATTGATTCTACCCTGATGAAACAAGAAGTGAAACTTTTTAATGTCATTAGCACTGTCTCGAAAGATATTTATGCTTTAGATTGAGTTTGTGTGTACTTATTTTTATATGTATGCTATATTTACTCATGTATTCACCCCCTCTTCCTAAAAATTTTACCATTTGAAAACCGGGAGGGGGAAAATATGCAATGCATACTCTTCTGAAGAGAGAGTTTAAATGGTAAACATAGTACTTTAAAAAGCACACATAAAGAGACACTAGAATTATTGTGTATTTCAAAAGACTTATCAGTTTCAAAAACATTCATTTTTATTTACATAAAATACTTTCCTATATATGCCAGTTTCAATAACATTAATTTTTATTTACACAAAATACTTTCCTTATATGTTCGTACATTCTACATTGTTATCAGAAATTAGAAGTTTATAAATCATATGCTGAAAAAAACTAGGGAAACTACAATGGGGGGAGAAATAGGTGAATAAATACAGTATTATTGTATTGGGAAATTATTTTATAGTAACATAAATTTCTTCCACAAAATAGCATCCATGTAACCTTTAGAATAAAATATACAGAGAAAAAGTAATTTTTAGAATAAAGTATTGAAGGAGAAGGAATGTTACAAGCATCATTCACATAAAATATTGACTATTGTATTAATGTAGCAAATTAATATTTCTTGGCTTTATTTTTAATCTTATAATGTACTGAGAGTTGTTAAAAAAAAGTTTCTTCAAACTCTCTGTATAAAGGCATGCATACGTTGTAATTATAAACTTTTCAAAAAGTTGTATTATTTATTTTGTAAGTACTTGTTAAATATTAATGAAGTTTCTCCTTAAGTTTGGTTGAAATTCCATGCTTAAAATTTTCAGCAATGTCTTCTTGCCTGTTATTTGAATTGAAGTGTATCCACTTTATTATTTCCTCAAATGTTATCAGTTAATATATTTTGAATATACTGATTTAAAGTTTCAGAATCCCTAAAAGTACACAAGCTAAGAAAAATGAGGTGATGCTGAAATGAAGATATCTTTTGATATGTATAGCATACTGTATAGTTGTTTGGCATTAAGTAATATTCTATGCGTTCAGTGAAAAGAAACTTATTAACATTAACAGCTGCTTATATTCATATGCAGTTTATTCAGGGTCAGTATTTAAATCTCTGATTTACCTAATACTTTGTAAAATTTCTCACAAGATTCTGTAAATTAAAAAAAATTAATATGTTTTTGATAGTAGTTTAGAAATGGAAATTCATAGGCACGTAAATTTTTTGTGTAAATTTTTAAGCTTGACCACAATTCATTTTTAATGAGTTCTGTTTTTCCTTGCAAATTTGAATATATTTTTATATTTACTGGTTTCACATTTCCTCTGTAAAGGTTAATGTTTATTTTAGCTCCATTTGGACCTCCTGATTGTGTGTGGGTTAAAATGGCCAATCAGTCACCTGTGCCACCACAAGTTGTAGTTACTGATGGGAAATTAAATGGTGATCCTGTTTATATTGGAAGAGTATATGATAATGGTTATTTTATAGGAACAGCAGTTCCTAGTAAAGGAATCTGCTCCTATATAAGTAAAGATGGAGAGTTAAAATCATCATCATCATATGAAGTAAGTTATACTGAGTTTTCCTTTTTTATTCGATTATAGTTTTAGTATAAAAAATCTTGTTTTTCTTTTTATTTGGTAAATTTAACAAACAAATGATAATTTTTATAAGTTGGCTTACTAAGTTTAACATTCGTTTTTCTGTAATTTAGCACTTCAAGCAGTCTCAACAAATAGGCTGGCTTGCATTTTCATTGTCTTTCACATGTGTAGCAAGAGTATGAATCTTAGGAAGTCCTCCACAGAAGCGTTCCTCCCTTTTGACAAATAGCCTTTAGCAGAGTACTTTTGTGTATTTAGGCGAATAAATAAGCAATCACTAGTCCTTAAATAACCATTTTCTAAGATGTAAATACTCTTCTCTGAAAATTTCTGGGGAGAATTGAAATTTTTCAGAATTATATTTGATACATATCAAAATTTACTGTGAATAAGTGTGGTACATTTGATTTTGTAATATTGAAATTTAATTATATCTGTTTACATGAAACATATAAAATCAGTTTGCCTTTGGATAACAAACTGTTATCATTTCTTTCTGTGCATATGAAAAATTGGTAAATTTCTGTTTAACCAATCAATTCTTCAAGCAATCCAGCTCGTTATAAAAGTTAAGTTTTTAATGTTTTTAATCAATCTGATGCTGATGGTTCTTGTTTGGAGATTTTATTTGTTTGGCTATTCTTAGTCTAAAATAGCTAATTCACTACATATTTGTGAAATTCTGAAATATAGTTAAGCTTCGACAATTCACAGAGAAAACAAAATTACAAAAAGCAATTATATGCAGGCCTTTTTTTTTTAAATGTATTCTGACACAAAATTGCATTTTGCAGTTTGTTTTTCCATTAACAGAACTTCAGGTAAATCACAGTTTTCTACTTAAAAATTAAAAGAAAAATAAATAAATAAAACTAATATTTTTGAAGTATTTCTGCTTGGTGCTAAGATTGAAATTATTCACATTTAAATGAATTTCGGTCTGTTTGCAGGAATTTTTTAAAATCTTTGGCAAGACTTTCTTTTTGGAATTATAAATATTAAAAATTGCAAGAACTTTAATAATCAAATGCAACATATGCTGATAGCTGAAAAGTTAAATTCATTTTGTGATTTTAGTATTTTTCTTTTCTGAAATAAAATATGATTATTTCTTGAAGATTTTTATGATATTCCTTGTGCATAATACCAGTCAGATACTCTTAGAAAATCTTATAAGTACTGTAAGTAACCTCTGTCTCAAGTTTTTTAGATCCTCTGAAGTAATTTATTTAGGTTTGATTTTTGGCCAGCCTCTCTGTATTTGTTTTCAGTGATATCTTTGCTTTTAATTGTGAGATTTTATATACTTTTTAAAGATGGAAATGCATAAAACATGTTTGTGCATAAACAAATCTACATGTGCTTTATTTCTTAAGGGGGAAGTCATTTTTTATTTATTTCTGTAATGTCAGTGAAAAAAGTTTTGTTTACAAAATTTCATCTTGAAAATTAGGTAAGATATACATTTATTATGCTGTGTGACTAGATGCATTTTTTTCATTTTTAAAGCTATTAAAATAACAAGTTTTATTTCCATGAAGGACTTTATTGATTTTAACATTTTAATTATTAAAGATATTTCTAAGCATTAGTCTGCATTTGGGTTAAGTTTTGTTTCACATACAGAGAACGTAAGTAAATGAGATGGAAAGAGTAAATATGTATAAAGCCAAGTACAATTGGCACTTGTTCTAGGTTATGGGTTGTTCTAGGGTTTTTAACACATTTTTACTTATGTTATAATCAGTTTACTGGTTTGTCAGCTTCCACCAGAACATGTAAATGAGAGAAATTTTGTTGTTGTTGCCAGTCTCACTCGTCTGACACTGACCAGCACAAGCCCACAGCATTCATCATGGCAAGCAGTCAAATGCACCTGTCGTTGGCAAGAGCCATGAGCACCATATAGGTGACAGCCTGACTTTAACTCAGTTCTGCCCCCAGTTTTGAGAGAGAGAATCCATGGGGGACGGATTTGAGGATCTCCTACTCATCTTCCCCAACCACCAACTTCTCAAAAGGACTTTTGGCTCGCCACATACTTACAGAACCCCCATGCTGCACAGACACTATACATTTACAAATATCCATGCTTTCTTCAGGATTTGAATGCTAGGCTTTCGATATGGCAGTCAGAGTCGCTAATATCTATCCCAGTTGGGTAGTGAGAGGAGTTTTAAATAGAGAACTTGTGGAACTGGCATCAGCCTTCACCGTAAAGCAAGCTCCTCATTAATGCAAGAGTATATAACTTCTGATCTCATGAGATTGTTTGGCTGTTACTTAGTAAATAATGAGTTATAAAATTTAGCTAGCCAAGTGCTAGGATTGTATTAACTTGGGATTGCAAATAATGTCACTTTGCATATTATCTGTTATTCTCACGAGATGTGGAAGTCACTTTGTGTTTGTAAGTTTTAGTTTGTACCTGTAAATTGAAGCTGTTAGTTGCAATAAATTTTAGTTTGATTTTATTCCATTGTGTTTATTCAACATTCTGAATTTGTAGTAAAACAAGGTAAAAATTTTTCTTCCAGGTTTAAAGGTTAGTTTAAGTTCCCCCCCCCCCAATGGTGGGCACTTGCCATCTGGGTGGCAGGTTAGTTTAAGTAAATGGAAACTAAATTTTTTTAGTAGTAGGTGAAGTAGTTTAGCTTTATATTTTTATAGTAGCAATTAACCTTACATCATTATAGTAGCATTAAAGGCAAAGATACATTTTAGTTATTTAATTTTATTCCATTGTTGTGCTTATTCTGAATTTGTCAAGGCAAAAGTTTGTTGTATAGGCTTAAACGTTAGAAGAGGTTAGTTTAAAGAAATTGATGTTTAACCTAATGTTGTTTTAGTAGCAAGTATAAAAGATAAATTCAGCCAACATGTATTATAATAATTTTTTATTTTTCCTTTATAACAACAAGTAAAAAGTCTTGAACTGATTATGACAGACAGGTGTTTCAGAACTAATGGAATGCACTTTCAGGGATAATATAAATAGTAAAACAAAACTTCATCATAGAATACATGGTTGCATGATAAGCTGTTAACGGTAGATGGCATTTCTACCTTCCCAATCATCATCTGTTGCATGCAAAGACATAGGGCACTTTGAGGTGCATAAAAAAAAGTTTCTATTTAAAACTCAAATAATTAATGAACTAAAAGTAGAAAAATAGTTTATCATATAGTTTAATGAGAGCAAGTGATTAAGTAAATCTTTTTGGAAAATACATCTGTGATTTTATATCACAAATAATAAAAACATGGGATATTCTTGATAAATTTGTAAAGTAGATGGCTTATACTTTTGACAGTACAATTGGATTATGAAGGGCTGTTCCCACTGGGGTTCATCTGAAAAAAAACTGGTTTTGGAGATGGGAGACTACTGACGTAGCCGACCCATCTCCAAAACCAGTTTTTTTCCATAGGGTAGCAAGTTGAAAAATCTGAATTGCAGGCATACTGAAGCTAGTTGACACATGAAACTGACTCCGTTAGCTCAGATAAACCCCAGTGGGAATGGCCCTTCAGATTTCTTTATTTAGGTGCCCATGCTTTTATAATTCATGATATCAAATTGTAGATGAACTTTATTAGTCTCGCTCACAGCAGTCAAGTTATTCAATTGAAAAATCATTTCTCAGCAATGAATAACCACTCTTTACTTTCAATAGTTGTTTACATCAAAACAAATCCTGCAATTTTGCCAAAAAATCAGAAATTACGTTAAAATTTCATATAAACTTCATTTAAAAGATTTTTTTTTTATTTTTCCTGCTCTATCAAGTGGGGCAAACAGTAAAACTGTGAGATTTTTTAGTTTTAAAAGAGGCTCCAGCACTTCTTTTATGTAACAACCTCAGTTTTAGCAGAAAATTATTTTCATCTCAAAAATTTTGTTTGAATAGTAAAATTAAATATGATTCTAACTTCCAAATGCATGTTTCTCGTTCTCTGGAAAATAAACTAATGATCGGAAGGTTGAGATGTTTAAGGAAAGGAAGGCCCCCTACCGACATGTCAAAGGTTTATGATGAAACTAAATACGGGTGAGGGAAGACAAAAATTCTCACTTGTTATTTTTTCAGCTAAGCTTCAGATTCGGAGGAGATTTTTTTTCCTTTTGTCACATTTTGCTTCACAGCTAGAATTAACTCCATTCTCATTAGTGACACTCGAACCATTTTAACTTTTCCATTGGTGCGCTGGAAAAAGAACGGTCTTTCTTTCTATCACCCCTTGAAATAATACATTATACTGTATATTCAGGGCTTAAACTCAGCTGGAGTCCGGTTGAGTTAGTTATTAGATTTTGAGTGAAATTGTAATTCCAGCCAGAGCCCCAAAATAAGAGGAGGTATGGTGTTTTATTATTTAACTATTTACTATTAATTTAATAATTTATTAAATGATTATTTATCTTTTTACATGCCGTTCAGCCGGTGTAGTGGTTAGCGACCTTGACTGCCGTAGCGATGGGCCCGGGTTCGAATCCTGGTGAGGGCACGGTTGTAACTGTCTGTTCCTTCATAGGCAACGGTGGTCTCCTATTAGGTGCTTCCATAATGAAATGGCCACCACTTCCGGCCCTTGTATCGGCGCAAGGCTAATGGCTTTTAAATAAAGCGCCCTTCCATTAAAAAAAATCCCTTTACATTGATTGAATATTAATTTTAACTATTTAATTATTTATTATTTTAGTTATCAATTATTTGTTTTAACTATTAATTATTTGATACTTACGTATTATCGCTACCACCGTAGTAGAAATCGCCAAACTGTGGCAACCATTTAGTTGATTACTGACTTTAGTTAACCATATTCATTGTAGGTGGCAAACCAAAAATTCACCGAATCACTTTTATTTTTGTAAAAAATCGCCAAACTGCGCCAAGGTGGTTGCACTTATACGCAAGTACCAATCATTTTACTATTTTATTAGTTGTTTTATTTATTTT